CGCCGGGTCCCAGGCCGCCTCTCCTCCATCCGGGGCGTCGCCTGCGTCTAGCTGTGCACACCCACTGACCTCAGAGGCGACCAGACCCCTGCCCGTGTGGCTGATGCGGTTCCCGTGGCCTGCAACAGGAGCGGAGCCTCAGGCGGTGTTCGATTGGAGAGAACTCGAGAGAAAGCAGCTCGGACCCAGAGCCGGGGCTGTGGTGGGGAGGGGGCTTAATTTGCCAGCCAAACCGCAGCGCTGAGTTCTGAGCTAGAACCCTCCCCCTTTGCTTCTGGCCCGGCTGTTCCTCCTGGGACGGCCTCTCCCCGGAGGCCAGCGTGCTCTCTCCCTGGCAGACGTGGAGCTGGATCGCAGCTTTGCTGGTGAGGGGAGAGCTGAGGCGCTGATGGTGGAGTCGCCAAGGAGAGACAGAGACGGAAGCATGGGTGTGGCCCGCCGTTCAGCGCCGGCGCCGCTGCTGTGGCCAGACCCGCTGCCGGCTTTGTTCAGCTGGAGCGGCTGTCACTCGGCTTCCTCCGTGTAGTTCCCGCCCCTCCGTTTGCACATGCACTGACCAGTCCCCGGGCCCAGCCTCATTCGCATGAAGGGATTACCGTGCGGTTCTGCCTTTCCCACCTGCCTGTCTTCTCCCGGAGTCTAAATCCCCGCCTCCCGGCTGCAGCTCCTGCTGCTCAGATAAATGCTTTATATTCCGACTCAGTCTGGAGCGAGTGCTGGTCGGAAGGTTCTTCACACGAAGCTGGACACCTGGATCCTCCTGTCATGCCACCTCCTTACGGCGAAGCTACCAGGGTTTCCAGCCAAAGAACTCACAGGCTGGGCGGCCGGGGAGGACCCTGCCTGACCCCGCATCCAGGGAGCGCCGGCGTGATGGGTGCCCCCGCGTGTGTGCGGGGTCTCTGAAGGCCTCCGCTGCTGCCTCCAGGGTTGGCACGGTCCTGTCCCCCCACGCAGCCGGCCAGGCTTACGGTAAAGGGACGAGGTGAAGTGGCAGGTCCCCCTGCTTCAGTGTCAGCAACGGTCTCCACAGTAACACCAGCCCCCGTGTCCTGCCAAGCCGCTGGTGGCATCACAGTTACCGGCTGCTGCCCGACTCCTCCCACCTGGTCCCCCGGTCACCTGTCTCCTCCCAGTCAGAACGGGACAGGGCTGGCCTGGCGGTCAGCGGGCCTCACTGGGCGCCGAGGAGACTATGGAAGCCCGTACTGCTTCCTAGAGCTGAGCGCAGTCTCTCAGCGGACCGGCTTTCCTTCCCCTCCTGTGGGCTTGTGTGGGCCCTTCCGCCCCAGTGGCCCTCCCCCCCTCCCCTCTCCTCTTCCTTTCTTCTCTCCCCTCCCCCTGCTCTCCCCTTCCCCTCCCCTCCTCTCCCCTCTCCTCCTTTTCCTCTCCCTTCCCCTCCTCCTCCTCTCTCCTCCTCCTCTCTCCCTCCTCCTCCTCCTCTCTCCCTCCTCCTCCTCCTCCCCCTCCTCCCTTTCCCTCCTCCCCCTCGAAACCGGATTGGACACAGAGCGCCCTGTGTGCTGACTGCTCCCACAGGGGCACAGCGGGGAGGGCCAACCTGCCCGCTGGGTCCCGGGTCGCCAGATGGGCAGTTTGCATATTGCGGGTCAGCAGAGCGCGGCTCCTCTCGCTCGCTCACAGGGGAGTAAGCTCTGCTTTGATGGGTTACTGCAAACCTGGCTGCCCTCGCCCAGGCCCGAGGCCTGCTGGGAGGGGCCTGCACCCTCCGGCTCTGCACCCTGTCACCATAAGTAAACTTCAGCTGCACTCTCCTTCCCTGGTCCTCCCGGACCCGGTCAGTCTGATGTCGTGTGGGATGAAGTCACACTTCCTCAGTGCTCAGACCCGTCCTGCTCCTGTACAGCCTCCCCCTCTCTCAGGTGTTCTCTCTGCAGCTGCTCCCAACCGTGAACTCCCCGGGAGGAGGGACATACTGTCTGTGAACTGATCCTCAAACATCGGAGCCTCCCTCCGCTCCCCCTCCCCAGGGTGGTCTGCGGGCGCGGAAGGCGAAACCCTCACAGGTGCCAGCCGAGGCCCCCGGGAGCCAGGGGAGAGGATCAGGGCAGGGGCCCTCAGACACAGCTCCCCCGGGCTCTGTCGGGGTGTCTCCGGGTGACCCCGAGCTGGGACTGCAGCTGCGGCCCTGTCTGTCTACTTGTCTGTCACACAGCCTGGGAGCCGCCTGCACCTCCCTCGGGGTGCATGCGGCTGTGCGGTGTCTGAGATGACGGGGGCGAGGGGGAACACGGTCTCCGGCCCAGGCACGGGTGGCGTTGCTGTGTGCTCTGTGTTGGTGGCGGGACGTGGAGGGGTCAGGGAGGACAGCCCTTGAGGGTGGCAGGCGACAGGACAGCGTGACATCGATGGCTCCCGTGGTCCAATCAGGCCAGCTCCCTGGCACATGGTCCTTCTCTCCCGCTTGGGGGGGGGGGGGGGGCTGTGGCGCCGGGCAGACTCTGCAGCGAACAGCTGTGGGCCCGTGCGGCTCCTGGACAGACCGGGATTTATTTATTCTGTGAGCTAATCAGGAGTGGGTGGCCTCGCCAGGAAATTTAGCCGGCATGTGTACCACTATTTCTGTGGGAAAAGGGTCCTGACCTCTAGGTCACCAGTTTAGACACAGACTTTGGACCACGATCTGCTTCTAAGTTGGGCTGTGTCGGTGTTAGTCCGTCAGCGTTCTTGGGGCCGGTGTGTGACCCCGTTTAGAGGCTGTGTGTATAGAACACTCGCCCGTGTGGACCCCAGGAAGACCAGGCTGACCAAAAAGGGCTCCTTGTGGCCCATTGGACACACACTGCTGGCGGAGGCCCTTCACACCGGCTGCGTTCCACACTGGGGGGCCAGCCTGCTGCCCTGAGTCAGCCGTGAAGAGGGAACCTCTAGGATAGAAACTCCACCAATAGGACCGAGATGTTCCCGTCCAGTCAGAGCTCCCCGTCCAGTTAGGGTGCAGCTGTACCCTCATTCGCATCTTCACTGACTAGTCAGAGCAGCTTCATCCTGGCCAAGCAGTAAGGTGCTATTTGGACCAATCATAATGTGGGGCCCTCATTTGCATAAGAACGGACCAATCAGGAAATGGGGGCGGGTACATGTTCGCATGTAAGCCAGCTTCACCTCTGCCTCCTTGCTGTTCCACAGCCAAGCTGTTTTCACTGAATAAAATCTCCCCTCGCCAAAACCAGTGTGGCTCAGGGATAGAGCATTGGCCTACGGACTGAAAGGTCACAGATTTGATTCTGGTCAAGGGCATGTACCTTAGTTGCAGGCACATCCCCAGTAGGGGATGTGCAAGAGGCAGCTGATCGATGTTTCTCTCTGAATAACGTTTCCAACTCTCTATCCCTCTCCTTTCCTCTGTAAAAAAAAGAAATATGTTTTTTAAAAAAGTACACAGATGGGATCACATTATACACAATGTTCTGCATCTTTTTTCTTCCTTATTCTGTGAGCGGTATTTCTTGGAGGTGTTCCTATATCGGCACGCACACACCCACGGCCTCCCCTTTACCATCACAGCGTGTTCTGTGCGCGTGAGCCCTCATCGGCTTTCTTGCGGCGGACGTGGCGTTCATTTCTCTCTCTTTCCTGGTGAACACAATCCCCGTCAAACTCTTGGCCGGTGTCTGCTCTGCCTTACGCGCTGTTGTAAGAGACCGTCGATCGCCAGTATTTTGGTACCTGTCCTTCCAGGTTATCTTCTCCCGTGGGGGACGATACACCGAGTGGCCAGGTTATTATGATCTCTGGACGCATAATTATCTGGCCACTCGGTGTCTATGCTCCTAGGTACACTCGTTGGCTTTACTTTTCTGAGCAGAATGTTCTCACCCTGTTACACGTTTCCTTACCATCCGGTAGGACACGCCTCCTCCCATGTCGTTCGCATGCATTATTAATCGGTTAACCAAACACGTTCTTTGAAAATCTTGATGATAAGTAGCACGGCTTCACAGTTGTCGCTCTCCTTTCCCCGGGACGCGTGGAACAGCCTGTGAGGTGATGGGCGTTTTAAGGGCTTTTGATCCGTAAGGAAACACCGTCTTGTGGAGACATCACATTTGTATCCCACACACGTCGTGTGGCGTCTCTTCTCTCGTGCCCCGGGGGATGCTGGGGTTTTGACAGATAAAGCCACACCATCACACTTTGCATGTGTTTCACTGCTGATGGACTTTATCTCCTGGAATAGGTTTATTGACCTCCTGTGTTTCTCCTTGGAAGGATTCTCCCATCTCTCTTATTTTTCCCCGTTGGGATTTTTATCTTCTCCTCATTAAGTCACACACGCTCAGTGTTCTTTACAGGCATCAACCTTATACCGTGTCAGTGCTCGGCTCTCTGTTTGCCTCTGGGGTTGGCGAGGGCTTCATTTTTGTTGCCTGGCGGGGAGGGGTGTACCTGCGGGGATGAGGGGCTCTCGGGAGATCTGCTTCCGCACCTTCCTTGTGTTAAGAGCTCAGGCAGGCAGAGCAGACAACACGGCTCTGCCCGGAGGAATTCGGCGGCCCGGTGATCTCTCCGGGACCTACATCAACAGTGAGAGAGAATCACCCCCCGCTGGGGATCGGGCCCATGGCCCACGTGCCCTGGGCCTCTAGCTGGGAGATATTTGTTTCCCCACGTTTCTTTCCCCTTTTAAGAAACTTACAGGGCCGAGACCGGTTTGGCTCAATGGATAGAGCGTCGGCTTGGGGACTTAAGGGTCCCGGGTTCGATGCCGGTTAAGGGCATGTACCTTGGTTGCGGGCATATCCCCAGTGGGGGGTGTGCAAGAGGCAGCTGATCGATGACTCTCTCTCATCGATGTTTCTAACTATCTCTCTCTCTTCCTCTCTGTACAAAATCAATAAAATATATTTTATAAAAAAAAAAAAAAGAAAGAAACTTACAGGAAAGGCCCGGGTGGGGCGTCTTCCCGGCACGTCTCTCCCGGGGCCCTGCTCCCGCCGGCAGGGCGCCCCGGTGACCGCTGTCCTCTCTCTCTGCAGTGCGCCGAGGCCAAGAAGCACTGCTGGTATTTCGAAGGACTCTACCCCACATACTACATGTGAGTACCTGCCCGCCCTGCCGGCCTGGCTCTGTGGTTACGGTTCCCGGCGGGGCTGGGCATGGGAAGGCCCTGTCTGGGGAGGGCCTCACCTCCTTCGCCGGGGCTCTGGGCTATGGGTCCCGTCCGGGGCGCCTGGATGCAGCAGGGTCCAGGGGGCTGGCTGCTGGGCGCCCTGTGAGCCCCCCGCAGGTCACGCATCCGTCCCTCCGGGGTCCGTGGAGACCGGTCACTCCACGCCACGGTCGGAGGGGCCCGGAGCGAGCGTGTGGGCGCTGTGAGGCTGAGGACGAGAGCTCTACCGCCGCGGGGCGGTGTGTTCGCAGGTGTCCGAGCAGGAGCCGGAAGCTGGCTCCCTGGAGCCAGTGCCTGGGCGACTGCCCCACCGCCTGGGGGCGCTGGAGAGCCAGACCAGGGGCGGGGCCTGAGACCTGGCTGCCTGAGCCACGAGGAGGCGCTGGCGGTCCCCCTCCTGGCTGCTGTCCGCCCGGGGCCGAGGCCAGCTCTCCTGCTTGGGTGTGCAGGGTGGGAAGGGGGCAAACAGTGAAGGGCATCGCCGTGGCGCTTCGGGCTGAGGGTCCCGGCCCTGGCCAGGGCCTTTCTCGGCTCCTCTTCGGGGGCAGGAGCCGCCCCGAGTGTCCACAGGCGCCGGAAGCCTCGGGCTGGGTGGGAGGGGTGGGGAGAGCGAGCACAGTGCCTGAGGCAGGTCTGTAGGGACAAGGGCACCGTGACTCCTGTCCTCCCGCCCCCTGTGCTCGGGAAGCCGAGGCTCCGGGCGGAGTAACTCGCTGGAAGTCCCGTTAGTGGCAGGACAGCCTGGCCCGTGGCTCTGTCCTCCGCCCCTGCCCCCGGGAGGGCTGCACCCCACTCTGGACCCGTCAGGATCGGCCGACGGCCAGCCTGTGGGCACGCGCTCCTCGGCGTGGCGCTTCCCGCAGGAGCCGTCGTGGGCCCCCGGCCGGTGGGATGCGTGGCGCTGTGGGTCACATGGGCGTGTCCGCCTCGCACCTTCCATTCGGGCCGGGAGACGCATGGCGGTCAGCGTGGCCGTTGGCGGCCTGCAGCGGTGGCCGCCCATCCTCTGCCCCGCCCTCCGCACGGCCCCCCCGCCCCGCCCAGGCCCCGCCCTCTGCCCGGGCCCCGCCCCCGCCCGGCCCTGACTCTGCCCGGGCCCCGCCCCGCCCTCCACCCCGCCCTCCGCCCCGCCCCGCCCTCCGCCCCCGCCCCGCCCTCCGCCCCCGCCCCCGCCCCGCCCCGCCCTCCGCCAGGCCCCGCCCCGCCCCGCCCCCGCCCGGCCCTGACTCTGCCCGGGCCCCGCCCTCCGCCCCGCCCCGCCCTGCCCTCCGCCCCCGCCCCGCCCCGCCCTCCGCCAGGCCCCGCCCCGCCCCCGCCCGGCCCTGACTCTGCCTCCCGCAGATGCCGCCCCTACGAGGACTGCTGCGGGTCCCGGTGCTGCGTGCGGGCTCTGTCCATCCAGCGGCTGTGGTACTTCTGGTAGGTCACCGCGGCCGCTGCCCCCGGCCCCGCCCGGCGCGCTGCCGGCCCACAGCGGCCCCCTCCCGCGCCCTCCCGCAGGCCGGCCTGTCCGCTTGGCCCCGCGGTGGCATTCCTTCCCAGAGCTGCCGGGAGCCCCTCCCGGCTCCCGGGTGGCGGGGTGGGGGGCGGGGTAGGGAGCGGGGCTGATTCCTTGGGATGGATGGCGGACGGCACCTCATCCTGCAGCAGCTCCTGGCCAGTTTCCGAACCAACACTGAGGTCAACTTTTTAAAGATTCTTGATTGATTTTTTAGAGAGAGGGGTAGAGAGAGAAACACTGAGGAGAGAGAAGCATCATCAGCCACCTCCTGCACACCCCTCCCGGGGATGGCGCTCACCCCCGGCCTGAGCCTGACTGCGGATCCAGCAGCGACTTCTGGGTGCGGGGCCAAGGCCCAGCAGCACAGCCCCACCGGCCGGGCTCAGCCCCAGAACCAGTCTGCCAACTTGCGGTGAATGCCTGCTGCCTCCCCGCCTCCCCTCACACGGTGCCGGCTGAATCCCTGCCACGGGACAGCCTGGGCCCGCTGAGCCTGGCTCTCCTGAGGGAGGAGGCCCTGCCGCCGGCGGGCGGGCCTGAGGGGCGGGTCTGCACGGACCCTCAGCCGGGAGCGAGGCCGGGGCTCCGGAGCAGCGCGGCCTCGGGCCGGGGTGGGGGCCCCGCTGGCCCGGGGTGGGGCCCCGCTGGCCCGGGGTGGGGCCCCGCTGGCCCGGGGTGGGGCCCCGCTGGCCCTCACCGCCGGCGCCCTCCCCCAGGTTCCTCCTCATGATGGGCGTGCTCTTCTGCTGCGGAGCCGGCTTCTTCATCCGGAGGCGCATGTACCCGCCGCCGCTGATCGAGGAGCCCGCCTTCAACGTGTCCTACTCCAGGCAGCCCCCGAACCCGGCGCCAGGTCAGCACCTCCGTCCGCGCCTCCCGCCGTCCAGCGTCTTTCCCAACATTCTGCTTTCCCCTTGCTCCCGGACATGGCCCACTTCACCATCTCCCGTCCCTCCCCGGCCCCCTCTGCATTCTCCCCGGCCTCCTGGAACCTGGTCCGTTCCTGTCGCGAAAGTCAGGCTTCCCTACCACCCTCCCCTAGGCCTGGCCCGTGTCCCAACCCGGACCATTCCCGGCCCAGCCCATCTGTAGCCCTGCCCTCCTCCAGTGGCTCCGCCCTCCGGCAGCCCCACCCTCCTCCTGGAGCCCCGCCCTCCTGGAGCGCTGCCCCTTTCCTGTAGTCCCACCCTGTAGCCCTGCCCTCCTCCCATAGCCCCGCCCTCTTCCTGTAGCCCTGCCCTTCTGTAGCCCCGCCCCCTTCCTGTAGCCCCACCCTCCCCTGTAGCCCCGCCCCTTTCCTATAGCCCCACCCTCCCCTGTAGCCTTGCTGTTGCTCTGGGACCTCTGTCAAGCCCAAAGCCAGCCATTCCTGTGCAGCCCCCTTCTCTATCCCATGCATTCCCCATTGGGCGTGCCCCCAGGTCCTTGGGGTTATGCCCCCAAATACCTCTCATTCTCGCTCCCCATTCCGTCTCTCCTGTGGGCGGCTTCCATTGCCTTTCCTGCCTACCACAAAGCCTCTTTTTAACTGAAGGCTATAAGGGGACCCGCAGGCCGGTACAACGGCACCTCTGCCTTTGGGAGCCTCGTGATCCTGGGAGGGGAAGGCTTGTGGGCAAACACAGGGGCCAGGGAGCCGGTGCCCACCTTGTCGGGCCGCCGAGGCGGGCGTGCGGGCCGGAGGCCGGCGCGGGCGGGGCTCGGGGCGGTGGGCTCGGGGCGTCTGCGGGGCTCACACTGCTCTCCGTCTTCCAGGAGCGCAGCCGCCGGGGCTGCCCTATTACACCGACCCCGGAGGGCCCGGCGTGAATCCCGCCCTGAATCCCATGGCCATGGCTTTCCAGGTCCAGCCCAACTCGCCCCAGGGGAGCGTGCCCTACCCCCCGCCCCCCTCCTACTGCAACACGCCCCCGCCGCCCTACGAACAGGTGGTGAAGGCCAAGTAGCGGGCGCTGCCTGGCGCCGGCCGGGGCACTGCGGACACGGAGGAGCCCTCGCCGGCCGCCCGCGTCCCGTCCGCACGCGCTTCCCGGACGGTCTCAGGAGCCACACGGGCACGCCCCTCTGTGACACCTTCCCAGCAAGCACAGCCCCTCCCGTTTTCTATAGATGACCAATATCCGATAACGCCCGCGTCTGTTTCTGACGTCGTCTGTGCTCCGGCGGAGTGTGGACAGCCACGGTGCCAGCCCACAGCCCAGGCGGGACAAGGAGGCGGTGCCAGGGAGAGCGGGGTGCGGGGAGAGCACAGGGAGAGATGCCTCCCCAGACCGAGGCCCCACACGGCCAGCTTTGGGGGCCTCTCGTCCCTCCGTTTTCCTCTTGAAGAAGCTGCTAGAGAGACGTTTGGTGGACAAGGAGCCTCCGCACTGCCTGCTTCCATCGCTCCCCAGAGAGGGTGACGCCCCTCTGCCCGGCCAGGGCTGGGAGTGCGGCCGGAGGGTGTCTGCAGGGCCTGTCCCCCATGGCAGGCCTCCGAGGAATGCTCTTCGCGTGCGTGGGATGTCGCTCCGCGCCTCGATCCGGGACGTTGCGTCTAGGAGCTGCTCTGACGTGGGGAGAAGTCCCGTTCCCCCCTTTGTAGTGCATTTAGGGAAGTTCGTGTCGAGCCCTGTCCTTTGAAGTCTGACTCTCCTTAGTGTCTCCACGGGATGCCAGCAGCTCCCTGCTCTCTGGTCCTGACCGCCGGCCTCCCCGCAGCTCTGCCCTGGGTCATAGCACAGGCCCCTCGCAGGGTAGCGGGCAGGCGGTGGGCGGGACTGTGTGGCCAGTGTGGTCAGCAGTTGCAAACCCTGCTCGGAAGCTGTCCCCAGCGCTGTGCACAGCCCCCAGGATCGCGATGGCCGCCCCTGGGGCCGTGGACAGTGAGCGGGGGTCCGTTCCTGTGCGTATTGTAGTTAGTGATGCCGCTCATGTGTGTGAAGCCGGACGGAGCCCTGCTGGCTAGTGCGTAGGAGGGCAGAGCGGTGTAGCCAAGATGTAGGTAGATCCCTGTCTGTGTGGCGGGTCCTCGGCGGGGTGGGGGGTGGAGGGAGCCTACTTTGGAAAGGAACTAGTCGGAGGCTCTTGAGAGATAGTTACTCGTTGGCCTGGAGCATCCAGTTTCCTGGGGAACGCCAGGGGAGATGCCTGGGACCAAGCCCGTGCCCTGGGAAGCAGTTGGTGAGCGCAGACTTGTGCCTGGGTCTGTGCTCACCCTCGTGCGACCTGCGAACCCGTCCCCCGGGTCCTTGAGTGAAATGAGTCGACAAAGCACAACATTTGCTGTTTACAACCAACGACGACGACATGGGTCTAACAGTTCCTCTTCCTCCAGGCCGTTGGTTTTGCATTTTTCACTTCATTCGGCCCCTTTGCTTTTTTTCTAAAATAACGAAGCACACGCGAGCCGCCCCGGCCTGGACCATTGCGGGTGCAGAGGCCCCGGTGTCCCTGCAAAATCTTGTGTGCCCTTTGGATAGCAAGCGCCTCGGCAGCGCCGGCAGTTTCGTATCCCGCGTTTGTGTGAGATGCATTTTGTTGCCCCTGGCACCTGGGTGAGGACCTGCTCGGAGGACTCGGCCCCTGGGTGGGAGTCCCCCGTGGGCGGGAGCACGTGGCTCCGTTCTCCTCTGTTCTCTTCGAGAAGGCCCTGTTTCCTCTGTTCGCAGAATAAAATCGCCTTTGGACGTGTGCTGTGATGTTTGCCTGGGAGCCGGGAGGAGAGCGGGGCGGAGCAGCTGCAGAGGAGGCACCTGCAGTGGGTGGTTCCCTGGGTGGGTGGGGGTGGGGTGGGTGATGCAGCCAGTCTCAGGAGAACTGGATGTTAGACGCTACCAGAGAATATAAGAGAGTTTTGGTTCCTCGCATTTTATTTGAAAAATATTTTTATTGATTTCTGAGAGGAAGGGAGAGGGAGAGAGAGAGAAATGAGAGTCATTGATCAGCTGCCTCCTGCATGCCCCACCCTGGGGATTGAGGCCACAACCTATGTCTGTGCCCTGACCGGGAATCAAACCGTGGCCTCCTGGTTCCTAGGTTGATGCTCAACTACTGAGCCACACCTGCCGGGCTCACCATCACGTTTTTAAAATCTAAGGAAAAGCGATCTGAAGCAGCTGGGAAGGGACGGGCAGTGATTAGGGAAATGCACAGCTGACACCCACACCAGGTCTCCTGGCCGGGACGGCCTCCCACAGGCAGGTGAGCGGGATTTTACGCTGTAGCTCTGCTCGCACGTCGCACAGACCTATTGGCGGGTGTATGCGCCACAGCTGGCTGCACTTAGATGAATCAGCGTGGAGATCACGTGGAAGAAGAAGCATCTTATATGGTGCTCTCTGAAGACGGCACAGGAAGTGGGCCAGACCGGGCCAGCAGCTTGCGGTGGCTGAGTCAGAGCTGGCTCCCACGCCTCACTGGGCAGCGGCTCAGCCACCAGCTCCCCCTGCACATGGACACAGGGTCCCTTGCAAGGCCCGGGTCAAGACGAGACGGGAAACCGAGGCTCGCTTTTATCTGCCTCTCACATTGAACTTCAAAAAGTGAGTAGTGGCCCTGGCTGGTGTCGCTCAGTGGGTAGAGCCCGCACATCAAAGGGTCTCCGATTCGATTCCTGGTCAAGGGCATGCGCCTGGGATGCAGGTTCAATGTGGAGTTGTGCAGGAGGCAACCAATCGATGTGTCTCTCATATCCATGTTTCCCTCTCTCCCACTCTCTCAAAATCGATTGGGTGAGGATTAAAAAATAAATAAATAAAAAAAGTCAGCCGAAACCGGTTTGGCTCAGTGGATAGAGCATTGGCCTGCGAACTGAAGGGTCCCGGGTTCGATTCCGGTCAAGGGCATGTACCCGGGTTGCGGGCACATCCCCAGTAGGGGGCGTGCAAAAGGCAGCTGGTCGATGATTCTCTCTTATCGATGTTTCCAACTCTCTATCCCTCTCCCTTCCTCTCTGTAAAAAATAAATACAATAATAAAAAGAGTCCATAGTCCTCTCAAGGCGCGAATGTAGGAAGACAAGAACTTCGAGTGGTTCCTGAACTCAAGGCCGATGTGAGCAGATAGGAGCGGGAGCTGCGGAGGAGGCGGCGGGAGACGCCGAGGCCCAGCGGGCGGGGCGGGGCGGCGGCCTGCCAGGTGCCCTGGGGACAGCCAGGCTGAGGCACTGCCCCGCGGCCGGCCGGGCCTGAGCTGCCGGCGGCCTCTTTCACTTGGAGAAGGGGTGAAGGGGCGTCAGCACCACATGCTCCTGGACAGCGGACCCCTAGCTTCCGGCTCCTGTGTTCCAGTTCCGCTTGTGTCCCCATCCTTTGGTTCCGTGCATAAAGGGCGTGGAGGGCGAGACTTTGGTTCCGGCAGCAGCTGCGGGTCAGAGTTCTCTCCTCCGCACCTGCTTTGGCTGCGTGACATGGGTTTGGTTCTGTTGTCTCTGAAAGGCAACTCAGTGTCTCCACAAACGGGACAGGACCATTTTGAGGTGGTTCTGAGGTTACACATCTCTCCTTATCCTTTGGCGCGCGCGTGTGTGTGTGTGTGTGTGTGTGTGTGTGTGTGTGTGTGTGTTTACTAGTAAACCATGTCTTTTGTCTGTACCCACAGTGTGGCATTTGCAGATGGCATCTCCACGGTGTCTGCATTTCGTGTGCATTGGTAGTTCTATGGAGAAGTGTGATTGGACTCAGATCCTCCTTTTGTTTGGAAATAACACTTCAGAGATGGTGGGTGTATTTCCAGAGGAACACGGTTTCTGCTTGTGTCCAGCTAGCCGTTGAAGGTTATTGCTGGAGCTCACTGACTGATTATGTCTGAGCAGTAACATTTACATTATAGTGTCCCAGGAAATACATAGCAGATTGAAGCACTGAGAACCATAGCTGCTTGAACGTGGTTTTAAACAGGAATGTAAAGCTCACGTGCATGACATAATGCTTAGATTTGGAGCACACCTTTGCTGTCCTTGTCCATTAAGATGTTGTGCAGTTACTTCACTGCACATTCTAATGGCTTATCTCCTTCACTCTCCAGCGAGAATAAGAGTTAGTTCCATTTTCATCCTTGACCTGGAAATACCTGTAAATTCAGGCCTCATGGAATGTGTGCTCCACAGCCTAGCCATGGTATGACCTTGGGCAGCCTCTGTGCCCCATGTTGCCTCAGGTAGAGATATGTGGGAGGGAAGCCGCCACACAGGCTCCTGTGGGGCCAGATGAGTCACCAAATGCGAGAGGCTTATCAAGGACTTCACACAGTGCCCAGCTCTACAGTCGATATTGTGCATTAGCGATGCCATGCTCTCAAGAGCTTAACCCCGTTAAAGTGGGGGAGAGCCTAGAGTAGAGAATGGAGAGTCACTGTGGCCATGCCCCTTGAGTCAGCCTCTGGAAATAGTACCAATGAATCATATGTGCTGACTGTAAATGAGATACCACGCCCCCTAGCAGAGCTGGCCATCTGTGGTTGGGTGTGGGTGAAGCTCAGCACCTAAGTGGGAGCGGACAGCAACTCCCTGAAGGATTGTGATTCCAGAAAAAAACACAGGGGTGTGGGGCTGGAGCCACAAAATCCCATGAAAGCTGCCTTCCTGGGGCTGAGGCCAGCCCGCTGCTTCAGGGGTGGGGGAGGGGTGCCAGCCAATAGAGGCAACCAGTCCACCATCACAATCCTTTCCCCACCAGCAAGCATCATCTGAGGTTGCCCTTAATCCCCCAGTTCACAGAGAAGGTGACACTGAGTTTGTGAACATGTGCATGATGTTAGGTTCTTGACTTGGATTATTTGATCTCATCTTCCAACAGCTCTGGAAGGCAGAACTGGATGTGGCATCGTGAGTCCTGAGCCCACAGCAAGGAAAGCAGGAGCCTTCCCCCAGGCAGTTAGCCAGGCCCTGGCCCTGGGCTGTGGGTGGGCAGCACCCAAGGGCTTTGGGTGGCAGGGAGGAGGTTTGGCCGATGGCTGTTTAGCTGCCAGTCAGCTCTGTGCAGGCCTTTCCTGCCACCCAGCAGTGTCTGGCCCTCCCCTTCCTAGAGCTTCTGTTCTGAAAAGAGCGCTGGTCTTTGGCCCAGAGGACATGAGGTCAGGGTGAAGGTCAGAGTGCCCTCTGGTGAAGATGGCTCCTGGCTTGCTTCCCCCTCTTCCCCTCTGCGACTTGCAGCAGGAGATTAGGTACTGGCTGGGCAGGTGCTGGTGGGCTCCAGAAACAGGCCCAGCCACGTCCACCCTGCGGGCAAGAGTTTCCAGTGAGCTTCAGCCCCCCCTTCCCCCGCCCCTCAGCTCTGCGAGGTTGTGCAGCCCAGAGCTAACCAGCAGACCCTCTGACAGGAGAGACTAAAGCCAGCAAACAGGACACACCAACTCAGATAAAGCCAGCTAGCCAGCGAGCTGGGCATGGCTGGAGAACCACCACAGCCCACCCACCGGTCTCCCTTATGTCCACAACCACGTGGGCTCTGGATGCCACCATGCAGGCAGCAGGGTCCAGACCAGCCTTCCTGGGGTGACAGAGGAACCAGGGAGCCACGGCAAGTTCTGCTGATGGGTGGGGTCCTCAGGCGAGCATCACCCTAGACTCGGCAGGAGACGCCCTCAGGCCCCACTTAGAACTACTGGAGCCCACCGGCCCAGGAGCCGAGTTTCCACAAGCCTCCGAGACTGCTGAGCGCTGGCATTTGAGAGCCGCTGACTCACCCTCCTCCGTCTCCTGGCGATATTCACACTTTCTCTTCTCGCTCCCAGTCCTCACACCTCCTCCTCCACCTTCACTCAGCAGATGCCCCGCTGAGAACACCGAAGAAATCAGGCTTCCACCGCGCCCACCGCCCCTCTGCGCCCACCAGCGTCTGTGCCCATCTGTGAGCCAGAGACGTGGAATGTGGGCTCCAGCTCCGCGCCTGGGCACCAACTCCCCTGCTATCCCCCTTTCTGTGCCATGTCACGTCTCAAACACTGCCCTCTGGGTCCTGCTCATGGATTCACAAACACGCTGTTAGTTTTCTGAACTTAAAAAAGTCTATTCTTGATCCCCTTTCTCTCACCATGGACAACTCTTTCCTCTCCGAAGAGCGGATCCCTCTTCTCCCTCCTCCCCCTCATGGCTTCCAGGAGAGCACAGCCCGACCCAGGGGCTGCTTCCTCCCCACCCCCCTTGCTGGGCTTCCTCTCCTCCCAGCCTCCATGCTGCTGGGCTTCCCTGTACAGGCCAGAGTGCTTCAAAGACATCCATAGGCAACCCACTCCAAAATGCCATGTGCCTGACCGTGACCCTGACCCTACCTAACCCTGACCTTAACCCTGACTGTGCCTGACTGTGACCCTGACTATGCCTGACCCTGGCCCATGCCACATCCCCTCCACCTGCTGGCACCCAATGGGGAGGAGGAGGGTGTGAGGCCGAGAGCAAACCTGTGAGTGTGAGCTCCTGAGTATTGGCGGGCAGCCTCCTTGTCCCTCACGTGTCAGCCCAAGACAAGGCCAACAAGAGCCCTGTCATACATGGAAGGTGCGCAGTGACCAAGGTCACCCTCACTGTTTGGGAACATGCGGCCAGGACGCGCCCCTCTGGCTGGGAGGCCGAGTCCTGTGCAGCCTCTGAGGCCTCCCTGGGACACGTGACAGCACAGGCCACCTGAGGGACCCCGTGAGCGGCTGCGTGGATGGGGGCAGGAGCAGGTTGACAGTTGCGCTCTTACTCCAGATGCATGTCCTCCGGGTGATGGCCTGGCTGCCCAGGAAGCCCCTTAAAAACAACCCTGGGGATCTGTGACCAGGGACGTCACAGGCCCCACGTGGGAACAGATGTGACTTGGACACAGTGTCTGTGGTGAAGGCTGAGCTGTCACGTCCATCAGGCCGGCCCGGGCGCTCAGTCTCGCCAGGAGCGCCGTGACCTGCCTTCCGCGCTGACCCCCTGTGAGGGCACAGGGGGCTGGCGGCCAGACAGGCCCAGGCGGGCCTCGGTGTCTCCCTGACCCCGCCTCACGCGCAGTGAGCTGTTCCAGACCAGCCGCCCCGAGGGAAACCTGCTACCCACCGAGCCCGTGGCAGGACTGGGGGCACGCACGCTCACCAAGAGCCGTGCCCGTTTCCCCGCACATGCCCGCCAGGTTCTCATTGGACTGTGTTTCCCGTGTGGACACGTGAAGACCAGCACGTCCATGCTTAACACGCGTCATCATGAGCCTGTCATCCCCCAGTGGACAAAGCACAGAACGCATGGATCCCGAGCGGATGCCTAGAAAACGGACCACGTTTGACAGTTTAATCGCAGGGACACGGGACAGAGACCTGCCTGCCGGTCGCCTTCTGGAACTTTACTCACGGAACTTAAAGCCACACACACAACGCGGATGGAGGGGGAGCCGAGGACTGCCCACGCCGGGCCCTGACTCACAGCTTTCATGGAAGGTTCACCGGGAGCCGCCCGGGTCCCGAGGCCACGCTGCTGAGACAGCCCGGGCAGCGGGAGGCACCGGCTGCTCAAACCACCGGGGCGAGCCGGGCCGGTGGCTCGGTGGTTGGAGCGTCATTCTTGTACATCCAAAGGCTGTGGGTTCGAGTCCCCGTCAGGAGACGTGTGGGAGGCAATCTCTCTCCTCACCTCTCCTCTATCTCTCAGCCAGTAAAACAGATCCTTGGGTAAGGATGTAAAGAAAATAAAAAAACAACAACAACAAACAACACCAAGGTGAGCACTAAACCCTAGAGGGAAGGCTGAGCCCTCGACCACTGCAGCCAAACCCTTCTCATCGGCTCCGCTTCCGGATCCTGGAGCCCTTCCTCCTGCCGGAGGGGTGCAGGGTGCGGGGCGGGTGTGAGCACCGGTGTCGCCCGGCCGCTGCCCGCTGCCCCCGCCGGGAAGTGACTTACAGAGAAGGGGCTGCCACGTGTCCCAGGGGCCAGCTCCGTGCGAGGGCACAGAGGGCCTTCTGCTTAGCACAGCTGAAACCGACACAGCAAACACCAGGAGACATGCAGACGCGGCGGGCGAGAGCTGGGTGTGAGGACGGCGTGGCCGGGGGTGGGGCTGTGACGGACGTGACGGGAGCTGCCGCTCGGCTCCAGGTCCAGGGCCACTGCACACAGGGCCGGGTTCCTGTCAGGCACCGAGCAGCCTCGTGGCTTTTGGTCCAGATGGGGCTGAGGAGCCTTTTTACATCTTTTTATCCGTCTGCGAAGGGCTAAGCTCAAACGCCGGGAACCGGGATGTCTCGGGGGTCAGGACGTCGGAGAGAAAGTGGATCGCACCAGCCATGCCTGCAATCAAGGGGTCCTTTACGAAGGGCACTGGGCAGGACACAGCCCCCGACCCTGCTGGTCAGAAGCCACCTGAGGCAACGGCCACAAACAGCACACATGCTCACACATGCTTGTACATACACACATGCACACACTTGCACACGCACACACACCCCAGGGCTCTCTGTAGGCTATTTTGCTTTCTTGGGTTATGGTCACATGCTGTGCCTGCAGCAGACTTACCATTGTTTTCCACTTCCTGTCATTGCTCTTGTTTTCCAGAACTTCCTTCAATATTCTCATAACTTTTCCAACTACCACTATTTCCAGGTACTAATGCTTTTTAAAAGCTAATATTGATCAGTCACATTTGTTTATGTAACTGAAGTGTTGGATACATGTAAGCAGCTAACTAATGAGGTGCTGTGGCAGAGCACGGCACACACAGCGCCCCAGGGAGCAGAGCAGGAAGGCAGCCTGTCCTCGTTACCAGCAGCAAGCGCCCTGTTGTCTGCATTTGCTTCACAAGAGACCAGAACACGGGAGACAGTCACAGGGGCACCAGGCGGGCAGCGGGGAGACTAATGTAACTCAGCCACGAATCCTGAGTGAATACTGGTGGCTGTGGGGTCATCGCTGGAGCAGGAGCAGAGGCGCTGGTGCCAGTCCCGCAGAGAGGGCCCGCTCCCGCCCCACACCCACACCAGGGGCCCCTCACCTTCGAAGAGGGAGTAGGGTCTGTCAGGGATGCGGCATCCGTGGGCACCGTAGTCCAGACACCACTCCGCAAACTAAGGAGACATTGCTTGTCAAGGCTGAGAGGTCACCCAGGAGGCAGCAAAGCAGACACTCGATGCGCCCCCCCACCCCCCCATGCCACGGCCAGGAGGCTGCGCCCAGTGCAGAGGGCAGGGCGTGGGCTCTGCTGGGCCCTGTCTGCCTCCTCTCAGCGGGGTGTCTGCTGTAGAGATGCCACCCAGCTGAGCCTGGGGATTGCGGGGAGGGGGGCGGGGGGTAGGGAAGAGGGGGAAGGGAGGGGGGAGGGAGGGGAGAGGTATCCCTGATGGGAGCCAGCTGAGCCGCTCGAAGGGAAGACGGACACGCTCCTGCGTGGAGAGGGGCAGAGGCCGCAGGTGCGCGTGGTGACGGCGGGGGAGAGGGAGGAGGGCAGGGCGAGGGGCTCGGGAACAGGAGTGGGTCTGACTCCGGGGGCGAGGTGGGTGGAACAGAAGCCGGAGGGAGGAGGGGAGCTGCGCTCCTGGACAGAGCTCACCTTGCAGGCGCGGTAGAGGTGCTTCCTGTCCTGGGTGAGGTGGTACAGGGACAGGAAGGAGTAGCCGTTGCCGGCTGTGCCGTGGCAGAGCCCGTAGCCTTTGCGCAGCAGGCCGCGCTGCCAGATGACGTCGCTGCACTCCATGGCGTCCTTCAGGTACTTCTCCTCCTTGAACACCTGGCGGGAGGAGGCAGGGAGGAGGCTCAGGGAGCCGGGAGACCTGCCCTGCCCCTCAGGAGCCACAGGACCGGCAGCCTGGGGGTCCCGGACAGACACACCCGTCCTCCTGACAGCACCCTCCTCCTGACGGCCCCGGACAGACACACCCCCCTCCTACAGCAGCTCCTACAGTCTCAGTCTGTTCTGTGTCCCCGTCCCCCTTGCACTTGACCACAGGAGATGCTGACCGAGGCCACGGAGGAGCGGGAGGGGAGGCGGCACTGACCTTGTACGCCTGCAGGAGCATGTGGATGACCCCCGAGGCCCCGTGGCACCAGTGGACCAGCCGGTCCGTTTCGTTGCTTAGCGACGACGGGTAATTGCCGGAGCGGAAGCGCTTGTGGCGGACGTAGTCAATGCTGGGCTTCACCATCTCGGCCAGCGTTTCCTGGTCCACTTTTGCTGCTGGCTTTAAGCAAACAAAATACAACACTTAACCTACTTTTTAAAAGTGTCTTCTTTTCTTTTAAAAAACCTCTATCTATGGCTAATGTCAATTACCTGGAATACTGAGAAGCACATAAAATTAGAATCAATTCAGTTATTGGGTTAATTAAGTCCAGGGCATGTCTTCTACCCATTTAAGTATAACCTCACCCAAAATACCTCACAGAAACGTTCAGAATAATGTCTGACCACACCTCTCGGCACGGTGAATAAATACCAAGTTAACACAGATGGCTGGCCTGTCTCTTTTTTTAATATATCCATTTATTGATTTCAGAGAGTCTGTCTGGTGTATTTTTTTTTTTTTTTACATTCACACACTGAAACATTTTATCTCTTTCTGTACATTTGTAATGATAGAGCTTAAAATGCTTATTCTAAGAAACCCCACAAGTGAGGAACATACATAAATGATTTATCTTACAGAAACTAAAGGTGAAAATGTCTTCCACACCTGAGCTCAGGGTGTGGGTAGCCAGGCTCTCCCTCAGCGGGGCACTTGGCGTCTCACAGAGAACGGTAAACCACCACGCCCGTGTCTCCCCCAGGCCGGTGGGCACAAGGCCCCGGGCTCGAGGGAGTCTGCCGGTGGGGAGGGGCTCCACCCGCAGCAGCAGGACCCACCGGCGCGTGGGCGGAGACACCCGGCTGCGCAGACTTCCTGTGGGCTGGTGAGTGCAGCAGAGCCTGGGGGGCCTGGCTCAGAGGGCCATTACTGCAGCCTGCCTGGTCTGTGACCACGGTTAGCTCCGTTTTCCTATCCGATCTACTGCTTTGTGTCCGCGCGCCGTGGTCAGTGTTTAGAGCGTCCTCCCACCTGCATCAGCATGTAGTAGATGCCGGCCATGCCGTGGGCGGCCCCCACATACTGCTTCCGGTGCCACTGGTACAGCAGGGGGCAGCGCTCCGCCTTCCTCTCCTCCCTCGACAGAGCCTTGCCTGACTCAATGATAGCAGTGACGACCTGCAGAGACGACGACACAGCTTACGTCTAGAAAACTTACATGTATCCTGTTTTACTGATACCACTAACAGCATGAACTTAGATATCTTCATCCATAAATCTCTAAGCACTCAGCAGCCAGCTCTGTTCTTTATTTTGTGAATTAACAAATATAGGCAGAGAGAAATCAGTAGACAATTGTAGAGTAGAGAATGTCAAACCACCAAACCAAAACTTTTATGCATAAAAAGTTTCCTATAAAAATATTCTAGACTACTTAGTTGCTTTGTAGCTGCAATGTTTTCCTCAAAAGACTGGTGACCTCCCATAAAATGCTGCAGGAACCGCTGTGTGTGGGAAAAGCTGCATGAACTGGCTGTGTGTGGGAAAAGCTAGTGGCATGAGGTCGCTGTGACATGCAGAGCCTTAGTTAGATAAAAAGACCTGAATGGCTGTACTGAGGCTGGAGTGCAGATCCTGCCTGGCTCTAACATCCTGACTCCCATCACACTTCTGGTCCCTGCGGTACAAGTTTAGCTGGGCCTCCTGGCCTCTTAACTCCGTGGCTGAGTTCTGAGGGTGGGATGGGAGCAGAGCTGAGAGGAGCAGCTTCTTGTTCTTGGCCTGACAAGGAAGCTGCGCATCCTCCACTTATTCACTTGTCCCCGGGCACAGGTGCTCACCCAGCTTGGGCCATACAGACAAGGGCATGGCCCCAGGATGTGGGCAAACAAGATAGAGGGACCGCCCACCGGCTCAGACATCTCCTGAAAGGCAAACATGCTACCTTCCTGAAGCTAGTGAAAACACTGACTGGACACAGGCCTAAGAGGAGGACAGGTTAAAAACCCCCACACGTTCCTGGAAGACGCAGGAAGGAGCTACGCGTTAGCTATGATCTGCTTTTAGAAGTCACTGTTCTCAGGGCAGAGAGCAGGCCCGAACGGGCGGGGTGCGAGACCACCCTACCTCTCTGACCGCCGACTCAGACACGGTGCCCGGCCCGATCTCCGTGTTCAGGTAGAGGAGGGCGTACAGGTACCCGGCCCGGCCGTAGAGCAGCTCGTCGGGGAGGTCCGAATCTTGGCAGACGATGGATTTCTGGAGCTGCAAAAGTCTACCCAACGAGAAAGTGTCTTTTCCCAGGGAAGGTCCTGGCTACCTTCCTGAAACTGTGATTAACTGTTAGTTATTTTCAACTTAAATGGTTTAAAGAAATACCAAAAACCAGAAGAGAAAACCTTTTCTATTTCACTCATTTCTCGCTCAGCTATCACTATGAGTAACAAAGCGTCGTTATGGTGAAAATGTCACCGTACATCTACCCTACGCCGCGGATGAGAAGATTCTCAATTTTGAAATCCAGAATTAGAAGGAAGTGACTTCAACTCCAAATGAAAATGGTGGTAAATGTAGCCAACACTTGGGGATTAGCCTGAGTCGTCTGTCGTTCAATAAACAGGAACAGACCAGCCTGAGCTGGGACCACGGCCGCGGCAGTGAGCACTGGCCTCTGCTTCTCCAGAGAAGAACAGACGCCGATAGATGCACAAAACGTGGGCGCTCTGCCTGTCCCATGTCCACGGAACCGAGCACAACTTCCTCACCCTCGGTCTGAGGCATACAGGCTCCTTCCAGTGCACCGAAGGCGCCAAAAGTTACACAGAAAAATGATGAAAGTGACGCAAAGAAACACGTGTCCTGTCCCCTGCTTGCTCCCTCTCTCCCCACGTCAAGGCCAGCACAGCTTGGGTAGAAAGGAGCACCCGATCCCACACCTGCTCAGAATTCACACACCCACTCCCCACTGCCCGGGAGATCTGTAGCCGGTGAGTTAACAATGGCTTCCTTTTGGAGACCTGACAGCAGGGCCCCCCCCGAGAGTCTGGAGGAGACCTCAGCGTTAAGCACTCACTTTGCGATGCACTCCTGGGACTCGCCGTCGCTCCTGAGCTTGTGGTACACCACCGCGCCCACGGCCAGCGGCCCCGCGTCTCCACAGAGGAACGTGACCCTGCGGCCGCTCAGGTTCCGAAGCGTCCTCTTGACGTAATCCAGGGACCGCAGCAGGTGGGTCTGGTCACCCGTCACCCGGTGCAGCTGCAGGTACAGCAGCGCTATGCCTGGGAAATGCCCGGTAGGTGTTAGTCCCTCTCCCTTCACCGTTGGGGCATTATTTTACATTTACGGGAAAACTACAGGAAACCTGTACTTCTGAACGGCAACAGGATAGACTTACAAAAAAAACTCAGGGTGGAAAAAAGACAGCACAAATACTGGCCCCGGGACAAGCCTGCTCTTAGCACCCATTTCTGTAGACGCCGTACGTACGTCAGGGCAAATCATGTGACAAACATGTAGCAGACGACATGTCAAGCTTCCAACTTCCAGGCACAATTTTTTAGAAATAAATTTTTTAGAAATAAAATTCTAAAGCATCTCCTCTGGGAAGACAGTTCAAAACCTCATGGGAAGGGTACAGACCTTCACCATTTTACAGGAGAAAGACTTTTACACCCAAGTCTTACGTATCATCACCTAAGAATAGAACACAGTAGTCACCCCCTTCGCCCCCGCTCTCACCTGTCCAGCCAGTGTAAGCAGAGCAGTCATGTGGGTCGGCCGTCTTCAGCCCTTCCTCCATCTGCTGAAGCAGATCTTTGATTTTGGTCTGGATCCGCCTTGTGAAGGTGGGAATGATCTGAGAACCAGAGGACATCGATATAAACGGCACAGGAGCAGGACAATGTTGTGATAAATCCGTTACCAGTCTAAGTCGTGAGAACGTTAATAGACGGAAGCTACACTGCCTGGCCCATTTTAATGCTTCGCAGGTTGGAGAGCGTGTCTTGGCTTGTTAAGGTAAGTTTTTAAATGAGATAATGCCCTCCCCCCCACACACACACGATAAGCCTTAGGTAGGATTACACAAAAGAAGTTGCAGAACCAAAGGAACAAAACCATTGAAAGGTGGTGGATGTGACTACACAGATGTTTTAACTTCTGTAAGTTAAAGGGAATAAGAAAGATGGTTTAAAGGTTAATGACAAAAACCTGCAGACAGACAACAGCATGGTGGTGACCAGAGGGGGCAAAAGGGATGGGGCAAATAGGAGAGGGTAAAGGTTGGGGGGGAGTTGGGGGCAACCAGGCTAGCAAGGAGGGGGGGCAGTAAGGGGCAACCAGCTCAGGCGGGGGGAGGGGGCAGTTGGGTGTGACCAGGCTGACAGGCAGAGGCAATGAGGGGTGATCAGGCTGTCAGGCAGGTGAGCAGTGAGGAGCCAGCAGTCCTGGGTTGTGAAAGGGACGTCCGAATCCCGGATTGGAGAGGGTGCAGGCTGGGCTGAGGGGAATTTCGTGCACCGGGCTCTAGTTTTAACAATAAAAATGTAGTAATCAGCCAATCATAAAGCATCTCTATGGAAGATGGTGGAACTTAATCCATCTCCATTTTATCTTGTGACTTTCCCCCTTTTAACATCACAACCCGCCCTCCTTCATGTCTAAGAACACAATTCCCACTTGCCCTTTCCTCCCGAAAGCATGCACACCCACTGGCATTGGTCCCCACCCTGACGATTTCACTGTCTAACTGCACAGAGAAAATACAAGCCGCATGAATCATTGGTGCTTTAACTTCCTTTTATAGCAATCCCTTCGGTATAGGCATGCGTGAGCAGAAACATATATAATCAATAACAAGTAACAACACAAGAATAAACATTGTTTTGTGAACTCACAGCTGTAAACCCACTTTTGCTCAGCCCTGTAGCTGGGGTAAAAATCACATTCACTACCGTATTTTCCGGCGTATAAGACGCCCCACTGATTTTACAGTTAAAACCTAGGTTTGGGCCTACATTTGCTGTATAAGACTACCCCCCACTTCCGAGGCAACACCAGTTCTTTTTTTAATAGACCGCCTCTCTGACTCTGGCCAATCTGAGCAGGCTTTTTACTAGAATACAGTGTACATGTTCTGTACCCGAAGCTGCACTGTGTTCTAGTAAAAAGCCTGCTCAGATTGGCCAGTCAGAGAGGTGGTCTATTAAAAAAAGAACTGGTGTTGCCTCGGAAGTGGGGGGTCGTCTTATACAGAGAATGTAGGCCCAAACCTATGTTTTAACTGTAAAATTAGGGGGTCGTCTTATACGCCGGAAAATACGGTACATACAAAGGGTAAAAAGAAAGAAAAAAAGTCATTTTCATGGTCAGCGTTTCTCTCATTCTGTGGGCAGAAATGAAACAGCGGCTCCAGCCCCTTGACTGTTCCCACGGAGGCTCCGCCGAGTGGGGGACTCGCTTCCCGCACCGTCACCAACCTTGGCAGTGGTTGAGAGCTCCTGGTGGCAAGCATGAACGTTTGCCAGCGGTCAGCATAAACTTTTTCCTATAAAAAATGTGAACCCTGCCCTAACCGGTGGGGCTCAGTGGATAGAGCAGCGACTTGCAGACTGAAAGGACCCAGGTTCAATTCCCATCAAGGGCATGTACCTTGTTTGCGGGCACATCCCCAGTGGAGGGTGTGCAGGAGGCGGCTGATCAATGTTTCTAACTCTATCCTTCTCCCTTCCTCTCTGTAAAAAAACAATAAATATATATTTTTAAAAACGTGAGCCCGCAGAAACTGGTTTGACTCAGTGGATAGAGCGTCGGCCTGCAGACTGAAGGGTCCCCGGTTCAAATCCGGTCAAGGGCATGTACCTTGGTGGCGGGCACATCCCCAGTGGGGGGTGTGCAGGAGGCAGCTGATCGATGTCTCTCTCTCAATGATGTTTCTGACTCTCTATCCCTCTCCCTTCCTCTCTAAAAAATTAATAAAATATATATATTTTAAAAAACGTGAACACTAAGCGACACATATAACGTGCGAACAGAGGATGCCTGCGGCCCGGGAACACCGGAGCCGGTTCGCAGCGCGCGTTTGGCTCCTGCAGGCAGTGAAGGGCATCGCTGCCATCCAACCAGCGCCTTCGGCCCGCCGGCCCCGAGCAGACCCTCCGCCGGGCACTTCCAAGAGGGACCCAGCGGGGCGGAAGGACCTGCTCCCCGAGCCTGGCCAAGGCGGGCCGCAGGCCGGTCCAGCGCGCGGCGCAGGTGGGCGGGGCCGGTGACGTCAGCGCGCAGACGGGCGGGGCCGATGACGCCACCGCGCAGAGGGCGGACCCGATGACGCCACCCGCGGTGGGCGGGGCGGGTGGACGCTACCACCGCCCGGCTCCCCCCGCCCGGCGCGGCCCAGGCCCGGCCCCCGGCGCCGCCGCTCACCTTCCCGTCGTCGTGAAACGGGAGGCCGAGCCCGTCGGGGGCGGGCGCGGGGCTGGCGTCGTCCGCGTCCTCGGCCGCGGCGGCGGCGGCGGCGGCGGCGGCCTCGTAGTCCGGGAAGCGGTTGGCGAACGCGCGCTCCTCCATCTCCGCCTCGGCGCCCAGGTGCAGGCGGAGCCGCTTGGACATGGTCTCGCCCATCGCCGCGCGCCGGGGCCGCGCCGGGGCCGCGCCGCGGACGGAGCGCGCGCGGGGACAAACCTCGGGCGCGGGCGCCGCGGGCGGGTTCCTAGGCGGGCGGCGGGCGGCGGGCGCGGCGGCCTGGGCGCGGGGCCGCGGGCCGGCACATCGGCCCCGGCGGCGCGGCCCCCGGGGGCCCGCCCGGCCGGACGCTGCTGCCGGGGCGGCGGGGCCCCGCGGGACGCCGGGCGGCTCCGAGCCCGGCCCCGGCCGCCCGCCCGCCCGGGCCCCGGCTGGAAGCGCCGCGCGCGGGCGCCTGGAGCGGGCGCGCCGTCACGCACGGCGCCCGGGCGCGCCGCCGCCGCCGCCGCCCTGCATGTCCTCCCGCCGGCGCAGCCCCGTTCCGGCCCCGGAGAAACCGCCAGAGAAGGCGGCGGCCCCACCGCCGCGGACCGAGCGGGAGCGCGGCCCCTCCTTTCCCGCCGCCGGGAGGGGGCCGGGGGAGGAGCCACCGGCCCGCCGTCTCTGTCTCTCCCCCCAGCCTGTTGTTTCCAGCCCCTTCGTTTGGGGTGAGCGGGAGTCCCCGTTGGCCGGACATAGCGGGGAGCTTGTTTAACCCGAAAGTCCCGGCGCCGCCGGCAGTGGCCCGGCAGCGGGCAGCGGGCAGCGGGCGGAGGACCGCCTTCCCCCGCGGCCAGCGCTGCTGCTTCATCCTTGGGAGCCTCATCCATGCAGCGATCTCTCCTCCTTTTAGGGAAATGTTTCACTTTTTTTCCTCCCCATTTAAACAGCCATGGAGCGCCAGTGGGTGCCAGGCGATGACGGCACAGATGGAAGGGACCCCCATGGGCTGGGGGAGAGGGAAGGGGCCTTTTCTGGAGCCCAGCAAGGGGCACACGGACACACACAGGGACAAGGGGCACACGGACACAGACAGGGACAAGGGGCACACGGACACAGGGACAGGGGGCACATGGACACAGACAGGGACAAGGGGCACGCGGACACAGGGACAAGGGGCACATGGACACAGGGGCAGGGGGCACACGGACACAGACAGGGACAGTGTGGCGGAAAGCGGGTCCCAGCCCCGGGAAGGCGGGCGGAGGCCTGGTTCCCCCGCAGGAGGCTGACACTGTCCCAGAATCATCCCAAAGGGGTTACTGAGCCATGTCCCAGGGCTGAAGGGGCAGCTGGTGCTGCAGGGACCTGCTAGGGAGGCATCATTGAGGCCCCGCCCACTTTCCTGCCTCTCTCTCTCTCTTTTAAATATATATATATATATATATTTTTTTTTTTACAGAGGAAGGGAGAGGGATAGAGAGTAACATCAATGAGAGAGAAATATCCATCAGCTGCCTCCTGCATGCCCCCCACTGGGGATGTGCCCGCAACCAAGGAACATGCCCTTGACCGGAATTGAACCCTGGACCCTTCGGTCCCCAGGCCGACGCTCCATCCACTGAGCCACACCGGCCAGGGCTCTCCCTCTTTCTAAAACCTGTAAAAACATATCCTTGGGTGAGGATTAATAAAAAAAAAAAACATACCTTGAGACAAATGAGAATGAAATATAACATCACAACTTAAGTGATGCAACACAAAAGCTTTTAGAGAGAAGATCATAGTTACAAATGCTTATGTTCGGAAAAAAGAAAGATCTCAAATAAACAACTTTACTGGCCAAGAAGAGAACGTCTGAAGGCAGAGTCAGCAGGTGAAGGCAGTCCAGGGCGCGGCCACGTGCTGCCCGGGCCTGGCCGGCGCGGGGAGCACCCGGTCTCTCCTCCAGAGGCCTTGGCGTGAGTGCTTGCCTGAGCTGCGGGCACACCTCCGGCTGACACAGTCCACGCTCAGCAGGGCCTCTTGGCAGCAGGCCCCGTGGGGACGGGGCGGAGCTAGGGGGTGAGCCTGCCAGCTTCCCTCCCAACCCGTGAGGGCCGCCCTGGGGCCCCGAGGAGACCCCACCCCAGGGAGACCTATGACGGCAGGGACATGTCCGCTCTGGCACAGACCCTGAGGGGTGTGCTGTCTCCAGAGAACTGGCAGACAATAAAAACGACAGGCGTCCGCCTGTTAGCACTGGAGCCTGGCGCTCACCCTGGCGATGCAGCATCCGGTTATACCGGGCGGGGCAGGAGGGCGGGGAAGAGGCTGAGCTGCAGCATCACAGAAAGGTCTGCGTCGTCATTTCGTTGTGCTTCTCTCCCTGAGCCACAGCAGCCTGAGGGCAGGGTTGCGTGTGTATCGTTATTACTTTACCGTGGCCTCAGTGCTGGCACGTCAGAGGCATTTAAAATACTTCATGGATGAATGCATGGATGGTGGATGGATGGATGGATGGATGGACCGGTGAGTGAGGGAAGGAATGGAATGATTTCGTCTGAAAAGGCCTTGGAGAATGAGATGAAGCTGACTCATCGTTTGTACATGGCTTTTCCATTTTTGAAGGACTTTAACATTCCTATTTGAGCGGTTGCTAATGTCAGTGTGACTGAGGGTGACGGCCACTCAGAGTGGCCAGGCTGTGCCCACGCGGGAGGTCACTGGCAGGACGGGGATCGGAAGCAGCCTCCGACTTGTCCCATCTCATCCGCTTCCTATTTTCCTCGAAGAAGAACCAGAGGCCACGGGGGTAAAAACGCTCGCAGGGTTACACAACAGGCCACACGAAGACAAAATCACGGAAACCTGTCTGGAAAAATCAGCTGTTGCCCGTTTGGCTCAGTGGATAGAGCGTTGGCCTGCGGACTGAAGCGTCCTGGGTTCGATTTGGGTCAAGGGCACATGCCCAGGTTGCAGGCTGGATCCCCATTAGGGGGCGTGCAGGAGGCAACCGATCAATGATTCTCATCATTGATGTTTCTATCTCCCTCCTCCTTCCTCTCTGAAATCATAGACACACACACACACTGAGTGGCCAGATTATTATGATCTCCGACCGCCTAATAATCTGGCCACTCTGTGTGTGTGTGTGTGTGTGTGTGTGTGTGTGTGTCTGTATAAATTAAAAACCAAACAAAAAAAAACCCAGCCTTATTCCCTTCGATTATTCTCCTTTGGTCTTTCACTCTGACCCAAGGCAGGTTCCTCAGCGGCTGTTGAAACACATCTTCTTGCCCGGCCAGCCGGACTGGCTGTAGTTGAGCACCCGCATATGAACCAGGTCACCGTTTGATTCTGTCAGGGCACATGCTTGGGTTATGGGCTCTATCCCCAGTAGGGGCCATGCAGGAGGCAGTAAACAGAAGATTCTCTCCCTCTCTCTCCCTCTCAAACCCCTTATTTTTCAGCAACATGGAAACGGGGACCCAGGACATAGCTGGGGCGTGGCGGAAGCAGAGCAGGCACCTGCCATGGCTCAGGGGGACTAACCCACGTGGGGCCACAGAACAGCTTGACGGTGGCCCTCAGCAGCAGTAAGAGTCTCATGCTTTAGTCCGGCAGGCCTGGCTCAGGTGTTGAGCATCCACCTATGAACCAGGAGGTCACGGTTCAATCCCCGTCAGGGCACTTGCTGGGATTGTGGGCTCGATCCCCAGTAGGGGGCGTGCAGGAGGCAGCCTATCCAGGATTCTCTCTCATCATTGATGTTTCTTTCTTTCTCTCTCTCCTCCTTCCTCTCTGAAATCAATAAAAATATATATTAAAAAACTCTCATGCTTTAGAATCTAAAGTTTAGATAATACACAACCTATACACCTATAGTGAAAAAGTTACAGAGCCCAGCAGTGGACAGTGTGTGTGTGTGTGTGTGTGTGTGTGTGTGTGTGTGTGTGTGTGTAGGGGGATTGCTCTGCAGTCTGGGGCTTGTTGCCTCCAAGGATTCAGGCCACGGGGAAGGCTGTCACACTCACTCGGAAATCCCAGCTGCTCTGTCTCCCTGGTCCCAGGCGTCTCCCGGGAGGAAGTTGAACTGGGATGAAGTAGGCGGGCCGGGGTCTCATTGCTTCTGTGCTGGGCGCGAGGGGGTCCCGGTCCCAAACCTTGGCAAGAACGTGCGATTGATCTCCATGCTCTGGGGAACAGACCCTGGGCTGGCACTGCGGACCCCTGCTCAGACTGCATTCTGGACGCGCCACGGAGGCCGGGGAGGGGACCACCTGGAGGATGAGGGGGGGGTCACTCGGCATTTGGCTCCTTCACCTCTGAGTGCGGCTAACTCCCCACCCTGCCGTTTCCAGTCCTGCCTACCTACCAGAGACAGGGCCTGGTTCTCTGTGTTGTACCTGCCGCAGCCCACCAGCAGGGGGCATCGTCGCCCCGTTGGCGTTTGCAGGACCGCTGGGGCGGGGCGGCTGGCATTCATGAGTGGTGAACACGTTATGGATCCCGCACCCCGGGATGGACAGACAGACAGGGAGTGCCCTTGGCGCTGGCTCCTGAGGCCGATGACCTGGGGACAGCGCACACGGAAGCCGGGTTGAGGCTGGGTGAGCACAGGGAACACCGAGGTCCGTCCCGGTGTTACCTCCAGGCTCAGGAACGCCTGGTGGCACCACGGGAGGATCAGGTGGCAGCAGCGGACTCGTCCTCTCTCACTTCATTTCTAAAGTTTTTGTTCATCTTCACTCGGCACTCGGCTGATGGTGCTTCCTGTAAGGCACATGATTAGGGACTTAGGAATCGGGCTGAGGGCACTCGGCAGGTGCTGATGGGCGGTTCAGTGTCCAGTCCAGGTGAGGTGCCTGGCCAGGGGCTCAGGAATGTCCGGCTGCAGGTGGAGTTTCCGTCCTTCTCCGTCTACCAGTTGGGGGAAGAGGGGACCTGTCAGGAGCGGGTGGGTATTCGTGGAGGGATTTCCGTTGCAAACTCCTCATTACCCGCTCCTCAGCATCCCCCCCCCCCCCCGACCCTGACTGCCCCCCTGGAGCCGGCAGGCTCCTGCCTCCCCCGGCGAGGCCGCGTCTCCCGGGCCTGCCCACCCACGTCTCTGCTTCTGTCCTGCGATCTCCACGTGCACCTTCCCTCCAGCCTGTGCGGGCCCACGCGCGTCCTCTGTGCACGACGCCCTGACCCGG